GTGAAAGATGGATCCCATGTCAGGCTTCGACATCCGTCTTGTGTTTACATTACCGCCCAGAGACAGTACACTGCAGTACAAAAGATGCGTATACCTCTGAAATAACTTTCCTTGAATTAAATCCTTGGTTTAAAATTTACTTTTCCTATTATCGCTTTACCACCCATTAATTCTTATTGTATTGTGTGTAGTACTTGGTTGAGAAGTAAACCAAAATATTATTGTTATACAAATTTAATGAGTGCTAAAAGTTCAGAAAAATCCATGCTTCTGAGCACGTATAAACTAAATTGAATTTTTGTGATAGATAGATAGATAGATAGATCGATAGAAAGATAGATAGATAGTCAGACAGATAGATAGATATGTAGTAAATAAACGAAACTGTTGTGTTTTCGGTTTTGAAACGAAAAACGAATATATAGTTTTTCGTTTTAATACAGAGAACTAAAAAAATATCATTTCTGTTTGTAAAACGGATAACGAAAAAAAATCGTTTCTGGTTGTAAAACGGAAAACAAAAAAATATTGATTCTGGTTGTAAAACGGAAAACGAAAAAAAATCGTTCCTGGTTTTAAAACAGAAAACGGAAAAAAAAATTGTTTCTGGTTGTAAAACGGAAAACGAAAAAATCGTTTCTGGTTGTAAAACGGAAAACGAAAAATATCGTTTCTGGTTGTAAAACAAAAAAATCGTTTCTAGTTGTAAAAAGGAAAACGAAAAAAAAATCGTTTCTAGTTAAATGGAAAACGAAAAAAAATCGTTTCTGGTTGTAAAACGGAAAACGAAAAAAATCGTTTCTGGTTAAAATGGAAAACGAAAAAAAAAATCGTTTCTGGTTAAAATGGAAAACGAAAAAAAAAATCGTTTCTGGTTGTAGAACGGAAAACGAAAAAAAACATTGTTTTTGGTTGTAAAATGGAAAACGAAAAAAATCGTTTTTGGTTGTAAAACAGAAAACAAAAAATTCGTTTCTGGTTGTAAAACGGAAACGAAAAAAATATTGCTTCTGGTTGTAAAACGGAAATCAAATTCTCCAAAACGACAAGTTTTAAAAATGACATTTTTAAAATTTTCGAAACGAGCGTTTTGAAATTTTCCAAATATTTCAAAACGAGTGTTGAATAAAGTTCCCATCCCTAGGCTAAGGTGTCTCTATTTGAATAAAGTTCCCATCCCTAGGCTAAGGTGTCTCTATTTGGATAAAGTTGAAATCTCTGTTTCTCTGTCTGTCTGTCTGTTTGTTTGTACGATCAAAAGTCAGGCACCTCTGGACCTATTTGCCTTGAATTTTGATTGGGGAACTTGGGAGAGCCATGGGAATGTTTTTATTTTGGCTTTGAGATTCTTAAGTCGACTTTGATAGCGAAAATTTAGTTTCCCGGTAGAAATCGACCATGAATGCGGGTAAACGGCGGTATTAACTTTCAGTAACCAGGGCAGTGTCGCTACGACATCTGCTCTAATTCCATTTGCTCTAGTTACATTTGCTCTATTAACCATTTGCTCTATAGCTCATAGATCACGACGTTTGCTCTATATGACATCTGCTCTATACGTCAATTGATCTATGACATAACACGTCATTTGCTCTATAAACATTTTTATGACTGTGATGGTCCAATTGCTCTACTCAACATTTTACAAATATCTAATCATATCAAAACTATATTTTTACAATTTTACATTTTACAATTCTTCCTACAGTTTCATTATTCCGACAACTTCCTGGAGATAGTTTTGTTTGTCTGGAATTTGTGCATATGAACTTTGAAGAACTGATTAAAACTGTAATTTGCGAATTTTCCAAAAAAAAATCCCGCATTTCATAGTCAAGTTACGCTCAGGAATTCCAATAAAAGCTATTTTATAATGTATTTTTAGGTTATAGAGCAAATGACGTGTTTAGTCATAGAGAAAATGAGGTATAGAGCAGATTGAATATATAGAGCAAATGACTTGATAGATCAAATGGAACTAGAGCAAATGGCCATAGAGCAAATGGAAATAGAGCAGATGTCGTAGCGCCCTGGGCAGTGCTGGGTTCCCAAGCCAGTAATAAACAATCCCAACTCATGCTTCAAAACACTTTGGAAATTATTAAATGGAAAAATAATCTGTGTTTTACTTATCAGATAGATATATTATAATATAGGTGTATATATGTTATATTATATATATACCTGTATATAATTATATATGCATGCAATTCATTTCTAAGAATTACGTGTACTTAACACTAACTTCAAATCGATAAGCACAAGTCAGTTTTGTAGAGAAACCATAATTGCAGATTTATGGAGCGCTGATATTTATCAGCCTTTCAATTAATTTTTCCTTGCAGCTTTAAACCTAACCTTTCCTTGGCAAGCATTTAGCTCAGACCGAAAACTAAGATTGACCTGAGATGGAATTTAATGAATTTAAGCCGCGGATTAAATCTGCCAACAAATATTTTTTTTTAATTTAATTTTTTTGTTCCATGGGCAACGCCGGGCTGTTCAGCTAGTCTATTATATACATTGTACATAATATCTGTTATTTATTTTACTACGCATGATACATAATGTTTAAATATAGAAACTTTCCCATTAAAGTCTATAAACAAGCATATTTTCAGGAACCTTGAAGAGGTATTACTTAGAACAGTAAACTTTCCATATATGTGCGTCATAATGCATTTGATGCGTATTTACTNGTTGGGGTGTGTGTGAAGGGGTATGGTAGTATAAAAACACCAACCCATGATTATTCCTGACCAGTATATAAATCAACTTTCTATAAGACAGTAACATCATCCTGAATATAAAATTGAGATTACAACTGCCGTCAAGATGGACTCTAAGAACACAGCATCATCAGCTTGGGATAGCACCAAGGACAAAACATCATCGGCTTGGGAAAGCACCAAGGACACCACATCATCTGCCTGGGGTAGCACCAAGGACACTGCATCATCGGCTTGGGAAGGCACCAAGGATGCACTGTCAACTGACAAATGAATCTGTCAACGATCCATACAAAATTTGAATGCTTATAATTACTGAAAAATGTTTAAATGTTTTTTTACGTTCTAAAGTGTTCATGTTTAATAAAATAAAGAAAATTTTAAGATACGTTGGAAGAATTTAATAAAATATAGAGCTCGTCAAAAACGCATATACCACCACCTCCTTTATCCTATGCGTTTTGATTAACACTGCAAGAACACAGAGAGAAATTTAATGAGAAGATTGATATAATATTGATATTATAACAGGTTAAAAAAAATTAACTCTTATATTCGAAAATAAGTAATTTTATGTAATTTATAATTTCTGAAATATCTCATTATTCGAGATTTTCTGCAGATTTTCCGGAATTGTTATTGAGAAGACGAGATTTGAAGTATTTGCAGAAATCTGCAAATTCATAGAAAATAAGAAATTCAATATATTGATGAAAACGAAATAATTGATTCTAACATTGACAAATTTCTTTTGAGAAATACGTTCCTAAACATCTCATTAGTTTACTGTAGAATTTTTACTTTATTTTTTGTCGTCGTTATTTAATAATTAAATAAAAAGATTATGAAAACGAATCTACCCAAATTGATGATTTTGAACGTTGACTTTGCACTCAAACTCATTAATTATACATCATTAAAACGTTTCATATATCTCAAATGAATCCTAAAAAAGTTCTCTACAATACTGCAATCTCAGTTCGACCACCATACATAGCCGGTCACTCCCTTTAATGCAAAGATGACAATGCCTGATTTACAACAGTATCCTTAAAAGCTTTGTCTGATCAAGTATGAAATATAAATCAATGTTTTTAACTTTCAGAATTGATTATTTTCAATTAGTGTTTCTCTACTGAAGTTACTTGCACATTTCTACTACAGGAAGTTACGGGAATGATCAAACTTAAACACTTTTCGATCTAGAAAAACGTCAACATCTTTATTGTTGGGAGTCGAGTATTGCAATCTTCGAAATCACGCTTACAGTCCCTTTATTTAGGTTGACATCTTAGTTTACATACAGGGTCATGCTGTAGAAATAAAATAATAAAAATAATTCTGTCAAACATTTATTTAACCCTGCAACAGTTAAACATACAGCGTCAGAACGCACAAAGACGACATACAAAACTATTTTTCACAACCAAGCGCCATTTTTTTTTACACTAGGTTGGTCATAAGCAGGCTCAAGTTCAAAAATTGATAGAGGTAATAATAATGATTATTACAGTAACAATTATAATTTACACACAGATAATAGCGATCAAACAAGAAATGTACATGTAAACTGTATAGTGTACACTGTACAATTACTCCTGGCCGATCCATCTTTAATGTACATGAAACTTTATAGTGTATACACTGTACAATTACTCCTGGCCGATCCATCTTTAATTGTGAAGTTTTCTCGAATAATTTGGTCAATTAATAGAATAGAAATATAATATGATAGCTACAGTGGCATAATCATCTTACCAATTCTCATGTTCATTTTTTACATAATATATGTACAGTATATGGATACAGGACAGTACAATGTACAGATTGTATTGTTATGTACAGAACGGTACTAGCAAAGTGACAGTACATATTGTTTCAGATTTTAGGATTCGTTTCCAGGGTCGGACATTTTCTTCAGCTCATTGTCAATATCAGTTACAATCTTCATGGGATCCAGGGATTCATCATATCTAAACATTTTACACTTGTCCTTGTCCTTGTCCTTGTCCTTGTCCTTGTCCTTGTCCTTGTCCTTGTACTTGTCTGTTTNATATCAATACAATGAAGACGACTTTCGATTTAAATTTTTGATTTCTACCAAGCTTTCAAATATCATGGAAACTAAGAGAACCTGTCAATTTTACTTTACAATTTTTGTTTGCTTGTTAACTTGTAATTTGAAAAATGCTTGTTATAAATAAAAAACTTAAATAGAAAAATCATCTTAATTCTAGTGATATTAACGCTGACCGCTGTAAATAATAGGTGATGAGGGGCTAACAATCAGTACAAACCGATATGCTTAGTTTTCACCTTTAAGAATGTGTAGATTGGGTTTTGGTCTTTCCCGTTAACATCTGTTTTGGCAAACATCGGGAAATTGGGGACAAAGCCTTTTCCAGGCCTGTAGCAGGGGAATCCAAACTTAAAGGGGGGGATGAGGGGGGGGGGATTTTTTCCTCTTTTGGTTGAAGTTTAAAGAACGTAATTTCTTGTGACCTTCCATATGTCCAATTTGCAACGGTACCTTTGTAACTTTAATCTGATAAAAAATATAGTTTTTCTGATAATCTCTCTATTGTTGAAAAGTCGAAAATGTCATTAGGTTTCATTGGTTTGTTTTGATTTTTGTTTTACTTTGGTTTGATTTTGGTTTGGTTTGGACTTGGGGTTTGTTTAGGGTTTGTCTTGTTTCGTTTGGTTTGTTTTAGTTTTAAATTAGCTTAGGTTTTATTTTAGTTTTGGTTTTGTCTTGTTTTGTTTTAGTTTTGTTTGGTATAGCTTAAAAGTTAAATAGGTTTGGGTTTGATTTTAGTTTTGGTTTGGTTTGGTTTGATTTGATTTTGGTTTGGTTTTGATTTTAGTTTGGTTTGGTTTGGGGTTTGATTTTGGTTGGATTTTGGTTTTAGTTTGGTTTTAGTTTGGTTTGGTTTGGTTTGGGGTTTGATTTTGGTTGGGTCTTGGTTTTAGTTTGGTTTGGAATATTCTGCCTGATATATTTAAGAACTGCAAAGATTTCACTTGCATTAGCTCCAGGTTCCTGGAAATATATATTATCAATTAAAGTGATTGTTCCTGGAAATATATTTTATTAATTAAAGGGATTGTTCCTGGAAATATATTTTATTAATTAAAACGATTGAAATGGGCAAAACTCGTACATCACAAAAGTGTTGAATTAACATTATTTTACAATCAGAATTCAATATTTTATAGTTTATTAATTTGATTTGGAATTTACTGGACGAATTTACTGGATAAAGCAAATATTGATATCAAGCGATTTCTATTTCAATTTTTTACAGGGACTGTAAGTGTAATTTCAAGTGACCCTCCATGCAAAGATGGCAATGCCAGATTTAAAACGGTACCCTTGAAAGCTTTGTCAAGTATGAATCAGATATCCATCTTTTTGTTTCTTTAAACTGATATTTTCATTGGCTGGTTTTAAGGATACCTTTGTACAATCGGGCATTGCCATATTTGCATGGAGGGTCACTTGAAATTACGCTTATAGTCCTTTTATGATATAATACAATACCTGTCTCAGGAACTGATTGCAGGGAAATCCTGAATAAAATTCATTCTTTTATCATTGTTTGTTATTTTTGTACAGTGAGAACCAGAAAACTGTGGAATAGAATTTGAGACTCAAGTTATGATCTCTTAAAGAGTGAAATGAACATTAAACACAGCAATTGTGCAATAAACACAGACCTATTTATTATTCATTATTCCACATTAATCAATGAATGAATACATGAATAAATGTAAGGATGAATGATGAATGAATGAATGCCTAGAACAGTGAATGGTTGGTCCGCGTACTTCTCCATGAGTGCGTTCAGGGCGTAGTACTGCGGGGTGTACCCTAGATAGATAGATAGATAGATAGATAGATAGATAGATAGATAGATAGATATATAGATAGATAGAAAGATAGATAGATAGATAGATAGATAGATAGATAGATAGATAGATAGATAGATAGATAGATAGATAGATAGATAGATAGATATATGGTTTACCTCAGAAGGATGCAAGATTGACTACAAGAAGAACTTGTCCCTAGAATATCTCCATCTATCCTTTTCATTTAAAATTTTTTATTCTAACCCCCTAAAGTCAAACCTTACTGTCCCGAATGGTTCAAAGCTAGATGGGAGAATAAGTGTTAATAACTCAGCAAGGATTGCGTTATAAAATTGCAGATATCAAGATCAATGCTTCATCTCCTCTTTTTATTAATCTTAAAATTAATTTAATCTTAAAGTAATATTTAAAGTCGATTGTAGAATGTAGAAACCGAACAGCCAATCAGAAGCCGAAAAATTTTGAAATTTTGCCTTTGTTCAATGAGAGAACTCTCATTGGTCGGAATCGAGCAGGGATATCCAAAAGAGTTGGTTAAGAAGAAAATCATATGTGTCAGCATTGGATCAAGGGATATTCAATACAAGACTTGTCAGCTCTGTTAATTCTTATATTTATCTTGTAAAAGTTCGCCTCTATCTGTAAATTGGTTTGACTGTTGTTAAGGCCTGGCAAATTTTTAAAAATTCAGTGGTAGCTGATTATATGAATACAATGTAGACGACCTTTTTACTTAAGTTTTCATTGTGAACAAGCTTTTCTCGAATCACAAATTTACATGTAATCAAAAAGAAGCTTTCTTGATTGACAGCTTCTCTTGACTTCTATGTTTATGTGTATTGTAAATCCATGTTGTTTAAAAGTTCACCTAATTGTATTGATATAATCGCCTCCCACTGTAGATAAATAGATAGATAGATAGATAGATAGATAGATATATAGACAGATAGATAGATGTAGATATAGATAGATAAATAAGTATATATTGTTACATAAATCTAAAGCGTGGGTATCATAAAGTATGAATTCTAAAGCTCCACGCTTAACCTTCAAACAAAATACTTAGCCCTACCTTTCAGCAGACAAAGAATCCTACATCCACGTAAAAGAACCAGATATTTCCGGATCAAACAAAACATCAAATACAAAAAACATAAATATATTTCTTACAAAAAACTAAAAGATATAAAAAACTGCACCAATTCTATTTCGTTTATTAAAATAACAAATTGTAATAATATGACATATTAATTAAAATTTATATATTTTTATGAAACCCCTACACTGGCTCCCTGGCTACACCAAGAACGTAGACCTTGAACAAAACAGGCAACTTCAAGCCTGCAAGACAAACCAACAAGCAGTTCAAATCGGGACCTGAGCTAGAGAGGTTCTACAACATAACCTATTTGGACTCCGTCATTATTTACGAGAAAATATAGATTGAGAAAAACCTTGTTTGACCCTCTTGTTCAACAATTGGTGGTCGGCTTACAAACAAGACCTGGTACTATCGCTATACCTGCAGACTCTACCTACAACCTGAGCAAGTTACACGCTCTATCCAACAAGCCTATAGGATACACTTTGTATCCTAGGCCAGTCAGGCAAGTAATTTTATAAATTACAAATTAAATAAATAGAAATCACTGTTTCTGTTCCTTCTTGATTTCTGACGTCCCATTTCTGCCGCTTATTATTTAAGTTCGTGGTGCTGTTGCGGACGAGTTCCAGTCGCAGTATACTCCTGTTGGCTGTTTCTGAGAAGTTTGAGTTCCCAGAGCTCCTGAGCTTGTTTATCAGCTCTCTAACTAATACGCATTGGATTCATTGGATGAATCCATTTGCAAGCAGGCAATCACGTTTTTCTTTTATTCTAACTATATACTGTGGAACATGGATCCTAGTGTTTAGGATAGAGTAATTCTCCTTTCTCCCTGTCTTATTTGTAGTGCAACCCGGAATACTGTTCCCTGGATCTGTGGTATCACCTGCGCAGCAACGGTTTCCTCTACATTCCCCTCTCCAAATCTCTCCTCTGGATCGTCTAAATATTAAAAAGGTGCAGTTTTTTATTTTTCAATTAAAATTGTATATTTCTCCGTCAAAATTTGTATCTTTGTATTGTTTGGCATTTCTTTTACGACAGGATAAAAAGTTTGGTTTCTGCATGATTTGTTAAGCTTGGTTAGGATTTGATCCCTATCAAATTCATAGTGAAGGTTACTATATTTGGGAAGTTTTTTTTGATACTCTTGGGTGCCCACCTTTATTTCAAACCCAACCATGACTGAACCAGTTTGCGACCGTGAACTCAAAATTGCAGAATTGTCAGTTAATTTAACTGACATTCCAAAAACCTTTCTAGACAAATTGAGTGACAGGCTTATTTCCTTCCTAACCCCCTCTGAGGTACGCGCATTGTACCTCGAGAACCCACCCCTTGAGTTTGCACCCCCTGCTCTTTCCACTGCGCTTAACATCTCTACAATATCTACGCTAGTCTCTGCAGCTGCTGCGGAAATTACGCAGCGCGTACCCGAAACCTTTGTTAAACCTGTCTATACATTGGGTGACGGGGTACTCCAGGCTAAGGATTTGGAGACCCTGAGAAACTTTCGGAAAGATGGGAGGGGAATGGGCTCGCTTGAAAGCAGTCTTGAGTATTATAACATCTTCCTATCAGGTCTCAAGGTTGGCCTTACTGAGAATGAGTCCGTCAAGGGTTTATATACCATTTTACCCACAGAGTGCTTGAGCACACTTGAGCAACTCAAATTTCGGAAAGCAACCATGCCCGAAGTTTTCTCTACTCTCCAGACAATACATGGCTCTAGGAAAACCCTTGACGAACTTCAGTCATCCATTGAAATCTATACTAGTACAAAATACACCTTTATGTACCCATTGTACAAATGATAACGTATATGTAAATAGTGTTGATCATGTAAGGCATAATAATATTGTAAAGAATGAAAATACCAACTTTATTTCTGAAATTACTAAACTTCAGAAATGTGTAAAACATTTAAAAAGATCAAAATCTAATATCATGAAATCTATTGAAAGAAAACCAACTTCTCATGTAGATAATGTAAACGTTTCACCAAATCTTACCTTTAAAGATAATTCATCATGTCTATCCTATAGCTCCGATAACACTTCGAAAACGGCCGGGTCCAGCTTCCCTGACTTGCCAGAATGGTCACTAGAAAAGAAAATTGATTATTTTATGTTTTCTAAATCTGTGGAAAAAAAGAAGAAAAAATCACTCCAAAAATTGAAAAACAATAGGAAAAAAGTAGTCCAACTATCTGATCCTAGCGTGATCACAGATCCTTCATACTTTAGATGTCATTACCCTATGGAGTCAATTTTCTTCTTTTTAGCCTCATTTATATTCTCTTCAATTCTACATATGGACATAGGTCCTCTGACTTTCCTTTCTTGCGCTTTTTTGCATATTATTGCAGGATTTTTTGACCCAGCCTTCCTGAATACAATTTTTCTAACTTTTGGCCAAATGCTTAGTTTTGTCTTTCAATTGATAGAATATATTCAGGATTTCCCCTTTTGGATCCCGAAAGTAAGAAATAGACCTAGAAAATTATTCTCAAAGTGGTTTCGTTGGGTACACAAACGTATTTTCCCAGGATTTTATTCTAAAAATTCTTTGTTGGATAATATTTACCTGCGTAAAGCAAAGATCCACTTAATTGAAGATAATACCAGAATTTCAGGCTCGGTACGTCATCGGATTTTTAAAGCTGGAAGGAAATCCTCTGCTAAAACCCTAAAGATTAGAAATATTAAAGAGACTCATAAAGACAATAATATCAATTTTTCTATTGTAAGCTCGGTCCCTTTAGTTTATCCAAAATTGGGAAATGTCAAAATTGCACTAATTTTAGACACAGGATCCCCTGTGTCCATTATACCTAAAAATATATTAGACAAATTTGAAAAGGACAATAACTTTGAATATACCCGGTTTGAACACAACAAATCTTGTAATAGTCATTCTAGTACACCCCTGGATATTCTAGATTATGGAGTAGAACTCCCCCTTATATTTGAACTTCAGTCTGGGGTAGGACAGCCCATTTTCTTACAATGTTATATTGAAAGGACTAATGCATCCCAGGGTATCCTGGGCATTAATGCAATTAAGAAAATTGAACTTTATTCAGGTTCGGGAAACTATTCCCATTCTTTTGAACTTCCGTCCAAATTTGAACCTATAACCCCTTCAACACCGATATCTGTAAATATTAATCCACTTGATGATAAAATTGATTTACCGATATCCATCAAAGATGGTCTCTATAATATGGAGTCGAGAATAAACCAAACATTTCATGATGATTCTTGCACATTGTCTCATGATCCTAGGCTACCATGCCTCAAACCTTATGGGTTAATACACGAAATTTTTGATATTGCCCGACCTGCCCCGCCTGGCCATGAACACTTTGGTCCTAGGACGGTGACAGTTAAAAATAATTGTATATTAAGCGACTTACCTTCTGAATTTTTAGAGAACTATGCAACGTTAGAGATAATGTCGTCTTTAGTCCGGCAGGGTATTCCAATTTCCAAGCATGGGCCAAATGCTAGGTCTGAGGAAAAGCTGAGACCGCTAAAAAATAAGAATGAGTCAAATATGTTAACTATTAGTAAAGTAACTGATACGTCTAACGACTTGAATGACACTGAAAATGTCATTTACGATAATGTTACTGAAAACATCCTTCACAGCGATGAAAATCAGTTAAAATTAAAAGAAAAAACTTTTGATGAAGTAAAAAATTCCAACGTCAAATATGCAAACTTATTTTTCGTGGATAAAAACTTTAATTGTCTGTGTCCTACAAAAATACAGTGCAAATGTCTTAATCTTACTAAAACTCAAATTTCTAAAATCAAAAGAAAGGATAACAATAGGATTAGTTTATTTTTGAACCACACAGACAAATCGGTTAATTATATAATTAGACTTATAGACTATAATTTAATTCGGGATACACCAATAGGTGTCTTTTTTATTAAATCGACTATATCAAAGAATATCGATCGAGTTCTTATTCATTCTCACAATGCCACTTTGCATGCGGATTTCTTCGCTTCTTTGAAATGTGCAATTCTAAATAATCCCTTAATCCTATACTACTGTTTTATTCCGGAGCCAACTTTAATTAAAACAATTTATAAGCAGAACAATTATGCGGCTTGTAAATTTACAATAAA